CTATACAAATAAATTAGCCTTGCCTTGCCATGAGTATGGAACGTAGATATGGTGACATGTAATAGGGGGTTAAGCTGAAATCATATCCACAAGCTACATCTTCTGATTTCAAGTAGGAATTTTCATCCATACAACTAATATTTCATTATATGTTGAAATCCCAAAAGATCACCAGTTTCTCAAATTCTCAGATCAGCTATTACTGCATCAGACAACCGTGCAATGTTCTGAGTCAATTTAACCCCTCTTCTTTTCTACCTTGATGCCTGGTCTTATCTTCAGCAAGTCAACTTCATAGGATTAGCCTGTTGTTTTTTATGTTATGAAACAATTGATGAGGTCTGCCTCATAGAGTGACTGGCAAGTGCAAATGTAATGTTTAGGTATAATGAAATGGAGTTTGATGGGAACAAAAAATGAAAATCCTTCTTGACAGCGAAAACATTTTACACAGATTAATGATTTCATTGTTAGAATTTTGAGAAATTATTTTCAATTACTTATGAAACCTGGTCTATGATATGTTGGTCAGGTCAGATTTTTATGTAAAAAAAAAGCTTCTCTGTCTCAGTCCTGCAAGATTGGAACGACCCTTTCTCAGAAGTGTATACTGCAGCTTATTCATTATCACTTTTCCTCATAAAAATGCTTTTATAGACCTGACTTTATGTTTCCATCTTATTTCTTTGCTCCGAATGTTAGCTTCTTTGAACATAGTGCATATTTAGTATGTTTTTTCCATACTTTAATATTTTATGACCCTATCTCTTGGAAGACTCTTCTTTGGGATAGGTACCACATAAATGAAGACATTATATATTATTACTGCCATCATACAGAGCAGTAAAAGTGTGGCTCAGATCCAAAATCCCAACACATCAGCAATAAAACCCAGAAACTTAGGATTTGATCTTGTCTACCCCAAAAAATCTAAACTCCATATTTATTACACTAAATATCGATTTAATAATCAAAAGCATAGGATGTTTTTGATTAATGAATAAAATGATTTAGGACCTCAATAGATAGCTTTTTCACCATGTTTCTCATTGTTTTCTCTCAGGTTACAGTCTGTTTTACAATTAGCTTCTGATTATTACAGGAAGCATGAACGGTTTACTATTTTCCTCTCTGCTGTTGAGATAAGCAAAATCTTTTGCACAGATGATTAAAGTGCACTCTTTTGAGGATTCCGATAAACTTTTTTTTTTTTTTAACAAAGCGAGTGACTAAAACAAACAAACATAGTTCTGTTGTTCCAGGCCAAAGATGAAAGTTTTAGAGATTCTAAAAACTAAAAGTTAAGATGTGATTTGTTGATTAAATATTATATATTCAAATAAAACAATCTGAATATTGGATGGATGAGCCAAAAAAGCAGAAATAGAATATAAGTGTTTAAGAAAAGGGGAAAAAAATTATGTCTTGGTTTGGATCAAGTCTTGGAAAGTCAGGGAAAATATGGAATTTAAGACTACCATTCTCGAATTTTGGAAAAGATAAAAGTAAACATGGACAAAACAATTACAATATTAGCTTCCTGACTAATTAGCTTCCTGCATATCCCAATAGATAAATTATAGAGATCTAAATTTCTGAAACATTAAATGATTTCACAACAATTGATTTACATATATATATACGTACTAATGAAATGTACGCACCCCCCTGAAAAACTGCTAGAATGTTAACAGTATAGAAATAGGATGGTCAGATAGCTGGATGGATGAAATCATTTGTCTTTGATTTACCAAATCACAGCTGTTGGTCCAACTTATTGATAGCTTTAAGTTACAGACAGAACCTGGAGATACATGCAGACTTAAAAAAACAAACAAGGCTTAGAAACTCAGAGATCAAAGTTTTAAGCTAAAAAAATGTATAATTTAAGATACAGTTAAATTAGCTTCCCAAAAAAGTGAAAAAGCCCCTTAAAGCTTCAGTAAGTCATTCTGGTCACCCCTGTCTCTACTGAGCTACAGCCCTCCTTCCACAGCTCCTCCATCACAGATCCTACCTTCAATATGTAAGTTGGTAAGCAAAGCCACTAAGGACTGCACATAAACAGCCATGGCACATAGAGAGCAAAGAATATGTTATGCACTGATGCATAGTTGCACCACATCTGCAGTCTTGAGCTTGATCAATGCAGTGTGTGGGCAGCAGGTACATGAGCTTGACACTGACATTCCACCTGCTTTTGATTAGATGTTTCAGATTGGGAGTGATGTTATTCTGCAGAAGGCTGTCTTACTACTGGGAAGAGACAGTTTTTGTTCAAATGAAAGATTTTAATGTGTTATATACCGCTTGCATTCCACCTGATGCAGAAGGTAATGTATAAAGATGTTCTTTACTCCAAATGCTAAAGGATCCTTCACTACTGCAGCGAGACAAACAGACACCCAGAAAAGATGGCATGTGCACATGGAAGCTCATTTTTATATATATTTTTTGTTAAAACATTCACAACGATATGAGACAAAAGTGGAAGGAAACAAAACAAAGAGTTTGCAGCCATTTTCAAAATGTTACATAAATAACACTCAGATTTATAAATATTTAAAACATAAATACATTTACGCAAGTGGGGATGAAGTACTTGAATGTACAGCAGCAGCAGCAGCAGCAGCAATAATGTACAGCTTTTGCGGTTTGTAGTTTTTACACCATTGTCCACAACGTCAGAGTATGCATCTTTGTTTGTATCTGTAGACCATATTGTATGGCATACAATGATGAATATATACTTGCATATTTACTATTTTTATATATATATGTATAGAGAGAGAGTGGTGAGGCTTCTGCAGCATTGTCTTCTCAGTCTTTTCCCATGCTTGCTGTGGGCAATTTCGTACCTAAAAATTTTCAGTTTAAAAATTTTCCTCAGGTGGCAACACACTTGGCTTATGTTGTCCAAACCCATCGTCCAAAGACCTAGAAGAAGAAGAGACAAGAGGAAAAAATGTCAGAGGGGCTGTCAGAGGCAGGTTCTTAAACACATTATCATTCTCTGTGTAATTTCAAGTGGCTATTCATCAGCAGCCCACTTTCTGGGGGATTTCCAAACCTGCTTGTTGGTTTTAATCTACGTAAAAACGGTAATCCTGGTCTCTGGAACTGCAAATATAATACAAGCGTTCTCATTTCTGGGTGTTAACGAGTGAGAAAGACTTCATAGTTAGTCACAGACTCTCACGTCCCCATGCTGGATCTCACTGATTCACCACAACCACAAAAAGGCCTCAACCCTCAGGACTAATTGTGTGTCACCTTAGCTTCCACATTACTTCATTCCATTCAAAAACACAGCCCCTTCCTTGTGTTTGGTCAAACCACTTGGGTTTGGAGAAAATGTCTTTCCCAGAAACAGCCTGACCACTGCAGGGCGCTTCATTTTGAAGACGGCGCATAAATGTGTGCGTTTGTCCACATCCCCACTTCCTTCATCCATCCCTCCTTGTCGTCTCCGCTTCCTAAACATGATGTATGCTGCTGTTTTTCCCAGTGAAGCAGATGGGATTGTTCATGATTATGAGCAGAAACACGAGAGTTGACTTCCTAAACACCCACAGGATTGCTACCAATACGTCACTCTACTTAAGTTTAAGAGGACTTTCCTACAGGCAGTCTGCATCCTTGCAGTAAGTATTAGACCTTCAGTTGAGGTTTGATGATTTCTCCTTAATGATTTTGGTAATTTAACGTATGATTATTGTAGATCCTTCGTATCGTAACACTAATCCATGTTTAGGCTGTTCAGTAGCTAGGATTTGTATGCACAATTATGATACATCCCCTACTAGAGTGTAAATTCTGACTAATTACTGATGTGAATTAAACTAGAATTCATTGCAAAATGCAAAAAAAAAAACGTGTATTGTTTCTTAATAAGTCTACACTCTGTATAGTTGCCTCACAAATATAGATATGTTTTTCTCTGACTCAACTATGAATGCAAAACACTTTGGACCCTGATAAAAGGTTAAACATGTTACTTTTTCTTTTGTTGTAATCATTTTTTTCACCCTGTACCCTTTTATTTTTAGGTTTTAAGAAAATCTGTCAAAAGACCTCTTATAGAACAGTTTTCAGCTTGAACTGTTCTTGTATGTCAACAACGTTCTTGAGTTTCTATAGGGTTATACAAATGAAATTCAATAACAATTTTTTATTTTTTTTTTGTATTTCTTTTCCTCCTTCATTTTTCCACAAGCAGTGCTTTGTCCTAAAGGGTTTCTATCGGGGAGGTTGCTCTGGCAGGATGCCGGGAGGACTCACCGTCTCTGCGCAGCTCCAAGCCCTAGCAGCCCATTCCGCTGATGGTCCCTATCCTGTCCATCTTGTGTCCGAAGCAGCCACTCCGCGAGGTGGAGCCTGCCTTCTTGCTTCCAGATTTGTGCCTCCTCGGTGCGGGCTGGTCGTTGAGAAGACGAGCCCACATCCCTCTGGCCTTGGTGTCCATGCGTAAATCACGCAGCAGCCTCATCCTAGAGCGCACAGCGTCTATCCGCCTCTCTCTCTCATCCGACTCCAGAATCTCCGCCAGCTCTTCACCCAGCAAACTTTGGAAGGACTGTGAGATGAAAAAAAGAAGTAGAAAATCAACGAATTCCACAGATTATATATATATATATATATATATATATTTTTTTAGTTTGGATATAATACAACAAGACGACGTAAATCTAGTCTGCTGGTTTTTAATGCTGCGGATGGAGGCTACACGTTTAGAAAATGTTCGAGGTAAGCCTCAGCTTGCATTATATTCAAATAAGAAAGGAGAAACACGTCCATATCCATCAGGGAAAACAGGTTCAAAACCAGAATTGTATCCGCAGATTCCTTAAATATTGCAGTGATTGGATCAGTGTTTAATTGAAACCTCTCCTGTTGCATCTAGGAGCTACTTTCAATTTCATAAAGCGATATTACGCTCTGAGAAGATTCCCAGACTTGGAGACAGGTGCATGTAAATGGTAGCCTATTTACGCTTTATTTTTGCATCAAATCCATCCGGCCTTTGTTCTTTCTTTTTTTTCTTTTTGTTTAAGAGACATATGACTTTACAAGTTATTTCAAATGGCGTATTTTTGCCTCTATTATAATTTGGCCTTTGGCACAAAACAGCTTTAGTTGTCTATATTTTGACTGTGGAATAAATGTAAAAGGAAACTCTGCCATCTTCTCCTGAAAGTTGAATTCAGCGACTCTCGGTTTTAGAATATTGCGGTAACGGCACATGTTAAAGGTAAATGTGATCTTAGAAATGTTAGAAGTAAACAACTCAAAGAAAAAGCTTATGCGCAAAAATGCTGTGGGAAGTTTTCACCTCTTGGTGCGCCTTTTTGCGCATTAATCAAAAAGCAACTGCTCATGTTTTGGAAACATCAGTACCATTTCTGATATAATCTGCTTACCTGATGGGTTTGAGTTAAAGGTTTTGCTGTCATCTTTTCTGAAAGCAGGCTGACCAAAAGTCCACACGCAACCAAATAGGACAAGTTCATTCTGTCACGTCTTTGGATTCCTCTACTCTTCTTCTCTAGAAAGATGGAAGATGGTTTCACTCAGTCAGCCACTGGATAGGATTGAGCGCGTCCTTTACTCCAAAGCTCTTGAACTGCTGTTCTAACTCCGCACATCTCTCAGCAGCTGCTTTATAGCCAGCCCTCAATGATGTCACCACAACCTGCGTAATGGCCCTCCTAGCCAATACTTTTGTTTTGCTACCTGACTTTGACTACGTCATGTCAGTGCTTAATTTAATTATACAATGCTCTGGTCGTTGGGGCTTTACAGGAAATGATATATATCGTTTATTCCCTATCAACATCCTCCTGCGTCTAACTTTTGAAACCAAAGACGATTACAAAGACTGCGCGTCAAGAGTGACTCCGGGTTTGGATGTAAGGGACCCAGAAGGATGATTAACTTGGTTTAAAGCTGGTCCATGAAACACACACTCTACCAGTGGAACTTATAAATCAAGTTTTATAAGTTGCGTGACTTCATTTAATACATTTAAAGGATTTTGCACTTTGAACACACCATTAGACCAATTTGTTTTACATTTTGGAAAGAAAAATAGGCATTTTAAACAAATTACAAACAAACACATTTATCCACTACATAAATAATAATTCACTAAAGGATTCAACAACAGTTATGCCTATGACAGGATATATCTGTTTCAAAAAACTTAAAGGGTGTTAAAAAAACGAATATTTAAAAAAAAACAAAAATAACATATTCAAAGTGATGTGATGCTTTTTTTTTTGTCTTCTTGTTTTGCAGCTCCTTGAAAACAAGATGTTTCATCTCAAGGGGCTTTCCAATAATAAATCAATCAATGAGCTCTTGAAAATGCATCTTTTTTTAAAGTGCGCCACAGCTCTTCAGGCAGCAATTTTCTTACACTCTGAAATAAAATAAAGACTCCTTTATTTTTTAACCCAACTGCACTGGCTTACATTGCGGCATTGATGTAACAACAATAAAACTACGCATTTCCTGGATGAAAATGCAAAAATTTTGTCAATAAACCTTATATGGTATTAAGAAATTCACTGGTGTATATTTTTGTGGCAAAAATTATAAAGACGACTATTACGTCATGCCAACTTCTGCTCTGACAAATGTTAACCACAGGACTGAATAGATACTAACAACTTTTTCCTTTAATATTCTAATGATGCAATCATAGGCTTTAAAGTTTTTTTCCAGGTGAATGCAAAAGTTTGCATTTAAAATCTGTTATTGTGTTTTTTTTTTTTTTATTTGAGGTAGGGATACATATTTAGAAGCTGAGTGATACAAGAAAGCAGCTTGTGTTAAGTAGTTTATTTCACTGCATATTCATTCAGGGAATAGTGCAGGTACACCAAAATATGAGCTGAAGTGTCAGGACAGGCAGGAACCTGTTTGGAACACACAGTGGCAGCATTTACTGTGCTGACAGGGAAAAGTTTGCAGACATAATTTTAGGTAACAGAATAAAATGCCCAACAGGTCAGAAAGAAATCCAAGTAATGCAGGTTAAGCACAGATTAGGTAGATTTCAATGAAGTTAAGTTTTGTATAAGTTGGGATGGGATATATATA